AGGTAAAGGCAGGAGGAAGAGGCGAAGGGTGGGGGGCGAAGAGAGAGGGAGGGAGATACGCAAATTGTTGGTGACCGTCGCGCTTTCTGAGGTTTTGATTTTTTTTTTGCCCCCACGGCGTCGGGGGTGACTATTCGACACCGGTCGTTTTCCAAGGGTGTATATTTGTTCATGTCCTGGGCAACGCGGTGCTGGGCTCTGGAGAAGCCACGCGAGCAACCCCAGGAGCGCCCAAGAATGCCCAGAACTCCGGGCTGAGAGTCCCTGAAATAATAATTTAATGCTTTTCACCCTTCGCGTATCCACACCAGCAATACTCCTGGGAGTCCGACAGCGCCTTCGTCCTCAGGATGCAGAAGGAACTAGGCAGTATGTTCAGCGACCTGTGAGTTGCACACTGTATCAAAACCTGCCCCACCAACGCCTATCCGACTTTCAACCCAGCACTGCAGCCGCCAGGCGTGCGCCGAAATTTCCTCCACGCGTGGGGGACTGCAAATTACGACGTGTACCGCGCCAACCAGATCATGCGCACCAAGGCCAATTTTCGCAGCCCAACTGACAGATTCACGGCTGTCAGTAACGCCTCCAGCTCAGGCGCTGCCAGCAGCAGCGGGATCGCCGCCTCCAGGTTCCACGCAGCAGGAGAGCACCCGAGCAAGGGGAAAGGCAAGACGAAGGACGGACCCGACTCACTGGGCAAGGCTGGGAAGAGGAACCGAGCAACCGAGAGCCCATGGAGTTCATGGAACGAGAAATGGTATCGTCAGTAACACTGAGTGTGGGGCACCACCCAGTTTCGGCCAGATACGGCTCCGACATCACACCGGGTATGTGATGCACCTAGCTTCGCCACGCGCCTACAGTGCTAACTCTCTTTCCTATGCATGCTGCGGTCAGCGGCGTTCCCCAGCTTTCCTTCTCTTCTTGCTTCCGACGCAGTCACCGCTCCACGCGGCTTCAGTCTGACAGCCCACCGTGATCGTCTCTGCCGAGCGTCCCATTGAAGAGCGCCCGGGATGTTTCACTGACGGGGGTCGGCGGGCTCTTGCAGTAATTAACAAGAAAGCTTGTCTTGCCCACACCCGCTGGCGCATATGGGCTGGTGTATTAGCCCACATCATCGTGATTGCACGCTACCTCGCGGCTTTATGAACCCAGCTTTATACATGACTTCGTGTGGTGGGCAGCGACAAGATGATGACAGTGGCTGGTGTTCTAAGATAAGCTTCGATACAGAGCGCCTGGCGTGCGCGTCAGTGTACACAGGGTTATGGTGAGCTCTCCTCCTTCTTCTTCCTTTGCGTCACCTTCCTCTCCTGTTTCACAGGGACTTTCCCTCGCGGCTGGGGTTGCCGCCAATGCCGCTGTCGGGCGGTGCTCCGCCAGCCTTCTTCTCAAAGTATTACACCGGGTGTGGGTGGTGAGGTGCCCACCGGCTGCTTTAGGGCGGCGCCCCCCCCTGCTGATGGCCGGAAGGGTTCAGTGGGGTTCCGTTGCTCGTGTCTCTCTTCTTCTCCCCTCCTCTCCTTCCGCGTGTGCGGCGTGCACTTCCTTTCAGCTGCCGCAGCGGGCTGCCTACCGCGCCTGGCGCGCATTTCCCCTCTTCTCCTTAGTTTTACCGGGTCTATCCCACGCGGCTGGGGTTGCCGCCAACACCGCTGTCTGATGGTGCTCTGACAGCCTGATTTCCATGCAAGGTCAGGTGGCCCCTGACCTGCTCCTGGGTGGTGTCGGCCTCCACTGGTGACCGGAGGGGTTCGGTGAGGTCTCGCTACGAATTCCATGCAAGGGTCACACCGGGGATGGGCGGTCAGGTGGCCCTTGGCCTGCTCCTATCTGGCGTCGGCCTCCAGTGGTGACCGTTTGGGTTCAGTGGGGTCTCGGTACGCTGCCGTCCTCTTCGGTGCGAGGACTTCGGCATGTGTGGCTCTGTGCGCCCGTCGGCTGCTTTCTTCTACATGGACATTGCTTTCGACATGTGCCACTGCTGTACAAACAAGAGGTACTGCCGTTTGCAGTCCTGTCTGTGACGAGGTTGCCCTTCTTCACTCTTGCGCTGACACGGTGCTGTTGTGTCGTCTAGGGCCTACGGCACGGACGTCGTCCGGGTGTGCCTGTCGGTCCTGCTTACATCGGGCCGCGTGCCGACTCACACCGGGTGATCGACCTTTGCGTGTTCATGGTCGCGCCGCCGCGCCATTTTGGCTGCGCCTACTTGATGGTCGCCGCCGGGGTCTCCACGCCACCGAGTTGGGGGTCTTATAGTTGTTTCGGGCCCTTATTCCTCTGAGTGGGTGCCCGCGCGCTCACTTTGATTGCCTCTCTTCTTGCTGCCTAGTCGCGGCCCGGCTAGTGTTTGGACGGCTGTCGGCCTGCTTCGCGAGCCCGCAGACCAAAAAGTATCCACACCAACCCGTTCAGAAACCTTGCTTGTGAGAGCTGACGGGAAGGGGAACGAAGATACATATAGAGAAACGAAGCGGGCAACCAACATCCATGATGAACATATACATTTCGGGCCACCCCTAGGGCCCGGGGGGCGCGAGGGGAGGGAGGAGGAGGAGGAGGAGGAGGAGGAGGAGGAGGAGGAGGAGGAGGAGGAGGAGGAGGAGGAGGATGAGGAGGAGGAGGAGGAGGAGGAGGAGGAAAAAGAGGAGGCACACCGCCTCTTGGGGCGCTCTTGGGGCTCTTTTGGGGCTCTGTTGGGGCTCTCATGTTTTTTTTTGGGGGGGGCCTGGGGGCCTCTTGGTCCTGGGGCCCTCTTGGGAGACCTGGAGGGCCTCTTGGGGCCATCTTGTAGGGCGTCGATCAAAGGAGGGATGTCCTAAATTTCCGCTCCCCCCTTGGGGCTATCAAGTGTGTTTCTTGCGGCCCTCTTGGGGCGTTTTTGGGTGCTCCTGGGGCCGTTTTGGGGACCTCTTGGGCCCCTCTTGGGGCTTTCTTGGGCCATCTTAGGACAATCTTGAGGCCTCAACAGAGTGTCTGAAGCGAAAAGGCGAGAAGACACACACCGTTCATTTTCCTGATGCTTTTGGAAGATGTCGGCTTTTGGGGGATCCTGATGGGGCTCCGAGAGCGCTTGGAACCGTCTTGTGGCCTTCGTCGGGCCTCATGGAGGTATGCCGGAAACATCTTCGGCTGTTCGGAGCCATCTTGGAGGCCATCTTGGAGCATTGGGCGCCCTCTTGGAGCCATTTTGGGCGAAAAGGACCCTCTGCCACTTCGCGCCCTTCCAACACAAACTCTGGGAGGAAGGCAAGAGGGTTTTGGAAGAGGAGAGAACGAACTCGTTAGACCTCCTACGGCCAAAGTGCTGGTGGGATGCTGAATACGAAGGACTCAGAAGGACCTGGGGGCGCTCCACTTCGTGCCTCGAGGCACAGCGGCGGGTTCGTATTGTGTGGATGTAGAGAAAAAGGGGGGGGGGAGGCGGGGGCAGGGCAGAGGATCGAGGTGGAAAGGGGGCGGGGGAACAGCGAAAAGGATATGCGCCCGCGACAGGGCCAGCCGCTGTCAATGTCGCCCCCGAGCGGCCCGCCGCCTGGGAGCGGGAGGGGCAGGGTCAGGGTCTTGCAAGACGGGGGGACGAGCACGTCTGGAAGCCCTCGGCGCAGGTCGCTCTGCAGTTGGCTTTCGCCACGGATGGCTGGCCTCACCCGAACGCCTCTTCGGGCCTTGATGGGCCATCCGGTGTGATTTGGGCGTCTTGAGGGGCCTCTGGGGGCCACCGCGGGGCCTTCTTGGGCAATCTTGGGGCCACCTATGTGGGGTAGTCTCGGAGCTCTTTCGGGGCCCTTGGGTCAGTCTGGACGCATTGGGTGCAGGGCCGCCCTCTCGCTTTCCAAGGGCTTCCAGGATCTGAGCATGAACATGTGGGACTTGCTGACGCTGTCGTCACCCTGCCCGGCTGTGTCAAGCAGATTACAGCATGCGCATAGATCGACATGTGAATAATCACAGATTCGCGCAAATCCTGTCACCAACGAGGCGCGAGAGTGCCGCCTGAATGCGTAGCCTGTCCGCGTCGTCGATGTGCGAGTGATGTATGGATGTATGTGTGTGTGTGATTTCGGGCTGCGCGTTATTCTTTTCCTGTCAATTTCAACTCCTCTGTTTTGATTATCGTCTGTCCTGGTGGCAAATTGCAGGACAGGGCCGAAGCGATCAGGATCCTCCTCGTCATCAGGGTCCGTTGGTTCTTGCAACCTCGCGAATGTGACATGGCAGTGAGTCTTGCGGTTCCCAAGCCATATCTTCTTCGAATGGAATGTTCATGTGCGCGAGATGCAGGAGGACTAGGATGATGAATATTCATATTAGTAGCAGGGGAGATTTCTGAAAAGTGCTCATGGTGTCTCGCTGTGGGCCCATGGATACGGTTTTCCTTTGGCCATCTGTCGGAACGCTGGTCACATAGCTGTCCTGCATGTTGGCACTCACGGGTACTCGGTGATTCTATTGTTTATGTGGCTCGTGGCTTAGCATTCAGTGGCAGAGGTTGTATGTATAACAATAAAAACAATCAATCCGCGTGCGTACATGACGACAGTCGTCGGACAAGACGTTTGATGACAAGCTGCGGGGGAAGAAGGGGCATCGTGAGGAGCAGGAGGAGAAGGATGAACCCTGGTCGAAATAAATGGCATTCGTTTTGTGGTTACGCGAGTCGGTGGCAGACTCCCCTACCAATGCCTCTCTGCGCATGTTGTCGTATCCCAGCTTTTCTTGGTGCTCTCTCATGTGCTACCTCTCTCCAGGTTCGCTCGTCATTTTTGCTTGTATCATGTGCACTGCTTGCTCTCGGTGTGGCGTATCCGTTATGGCAGCGTTGCGTCTGCTGACCACCCCTATTCACTATGGCCCCGGTGCCCCCTTTGGGAATCGTTTGCTTGCTGGCCACCTGCTTGTCGACCACCCCCCACCCTCGCTGGCGCAGACATTCACGACACCCGACATGCGCCCGTCCAGTATCCTTCCGAGCCTCCCCGTCGACCGTA